GCAACCTCCAGATGGAGTCCCGTCAGGACCAAGAGCGGCCGAGGCCCCTGCGTTCAGCCGCCCATTTGTCCCCTCACATAATGCTCACTGAGTCCCAGCGGACCGTTCTCCAGGCCCCGGGAAAATGGCTGGGATCAACACCCCACAAGCCTGGCCTCACGGGGCATGTACCCCAGGCAAAGAAACCACACATACCATGTGAACAGAGGGAATCTAATAGGAAGTGTCGGAAACCAGGCACAAGCCGTAACGGGGGGCTGAACGGGAAGCGAGAACCCTGAGACATCAGGGAGGAGCCGCAACTGCTGGACTGTGGGAACCAGGAGGCTGAAATCACTGAATTGAGAAACTCAGAGAACCGAACTGAGATGGGAAAGCGGCGGACGGGTCAGCTGCTGTGGGCGAGGTGACGGGCGCCGCTCCAGCACCACCCCAGCTCCCAGGAAGAGGAAGCGGCAGGGCCCTTCCCGGCCCCCGCCTGGGGTCGCTCCGCACGCCCCCACTGGACAGGCCACGCAGGGCGCCAGCTGGGAACCACGTGGGAAGGGGGTGCTACAGAGGACCAGGCAGAAGACAGGCAGGCAGGGAACTGAATCACACTTGATCCCTGTGAGAGCAGGCGAGGGCCCCCAGGGCAGGGCGAGGGCTCCCCGATCTCACGTGAGTTCAGCTGGGATCACCAAGGAGCGCTGTCGCTGGGAGAAGGGCAGAGACGGTGCATCTCTTCGCTTGGGGAGACAGACCCTGCACGGGAGGCAGGCAGCCTGTAGAGCCGGGCCGAGCAGGAGGGGAAGGCGGGGGTCAGGAGAGGAGGCGGGTGAAGGGCAGACCGAGAAGGGCCCCATGTGAGGAAGCAGGAGACACAGAGGGACTAGGACGAGGTACAGACGATTTTCTCAAGAGGTCCATCGAGCCAAACAGAACCAGGAAAGCTGGCTGGTAGTTGGAAAGGAGAAGCAGTCAGGAGTCTGGCCTTCGTGTGTGAATTCTATGGGCAGCAGCTTCCCAGCACGCGGCTGTGAGGGGGTCATCCTGACCATGCTGGAGAGAAACTACAAGATGGCGCACAGGCCCGGCCTCCCCAGGAGCCAAGCTTTCTGAAGTTCCCAGAAACCCAAGCCAAAGTGCCCCCAGATTCGTTTTTCCCGCCACCTGGCATGTGGATGGGGAGCGCGCTGGACCTGGGGCCAGAAGGGACGTGTGCAGCTCTGCCCGCAGACCCTCGGGGGCGCTCTCTACAGCGAGGCAGCACGGGGGGCCATGAGCCCCAGCGCCCAGCCCACACCCCCTGTACCAACACAGATGCCTCTGTCACCGTGTTCACTCAGTTCAAGCTCAGCCTTTCTTGTGAAGTAAAGAAGAGAATACTCATAAAAAATTAAACCTCTAGTTCCATACTTACATTGGCCTCTGAGGTCACTGGCATTTCCGTGAACCTTTGGGAGTTCAAAGTGAAGTCCTGAGTTCTTAGAAGAGAAGTCGGCATGTTTATCGATCAGAGCCTTTCTGAGCTGGCACGTGCTGAAGGAAACAGTCTGAGCTGAGGAGCCATCGCTGTGCTGCGACGGCCACTGCAGCCACTCTAACGTACTCTTCCCCATAAAACTCCCAGCCCAAGAATGTCTACTTTCAAGGGACAATGAAAGGACACAACACACTCTGAAGCAGCAGCAGGCATTTTAATGACCTTCTTCAAGACACCGCTGACGCCAGCTATGCCCTCACACAACGTCTGTCTACCTTCTGCCAACCCAGCAGTCCTGACGCCCAGGGTGGGCCTGGGTACCGACAGCCATCACACTCGCCCGGTGGTGCAGGTGGCCCAGAGGGCAGGGCCAGGACAGGGTGGCGCTGTCCGGTCCAAGAAGGACAGTCACCCTCTGTGGAGCACTGGCTCGGGCTCTACACCAAGTCTCGTCACCACGGAGGGTGTCACCACACCCGGAGGCCAGAGCCAGGCCCAAACTCAGAAACAGAACAACTCTGAGCTGAGCAGACCTAATT